TAAATATATTTAAAAAATGTTAAATATTATTATTAAAACAATTTTTTTTAGATATGATTCGTTTTTTATTGTTTTATATCAACACAATCTAGATTATTCAGTTCCTTTATAGCAATCATAATTGTCATGAGATGAAAGTTATACTTAGTTTCATTTAACTGAATAAATTAAGACAAAAAATATATAAAATCTAAGTATTTGATTAAGAAATTAAATCCAGTATATGTTTGTACAAAAATAATTATAATTTTGATCTTATAAGTTCATTGAATAAATAAAAATTGTTTTTTACATAAAACTACAGATGAATTAAATGTACTGTTAAAAAATATATATTATAATTTATATTCATCCTATAATATTATAATAATTTTCATCCTAAATGTGATTAATTGTATTAATAAATATATATTATTTAATTAAACCAATTTTAACATTATTTCTCATTGAAATAATAGTTTTAAACGATTAAAAAAAACATCAAAATTAAGAACTTTTTTTTATACTTAAGTATAAAAGCATATGAATTAATCAGCTGTTTGTTTTCGTCACTGTGGTGTAACCCAGAATTACGCTCAAGGAAACCAAAGTTAAGTATAAAGAGACGAAACCTCTCATCATTCCATGTATTCACGGTGCGTGTGTCGGGTCCATCGTTGTAGTGAGAGGAGCTTCAACAGTGACTGGGACTTGTGACCTAAGTGTAGGTTTAAGGGTCCCTATTTAACTGAATAATGATGAATATTTGGTATTTATGTTATAAATACATAAATATCTGTAGTATTAAAACAATTTGATACCGTTTTTATATTTAGACGAAAATCTAATACTTTCTCAAGTTAAATGTATAAAATCCTATATAAAAGAAAGTATATAAAGATATGTATTTTTAACAATACATATAATTCCTTAATCTGAATGAAGATTGACGAATTGACACAATAATACATACACATATTTACGGAACACTCTTTTTTTTCAAATGGGTATCAACAATAATTGTTATATATTATATTATATATATATTAAGTATGTATATATAGTTTTGGTTCAAGAGAGGATCTCTAAAAGAGAGATGACCGTGGTTCGCACGTCCACAGATAGCCAAACACGTATAATATCAACGCTAAAATGCACTAAAAGCATCGTGAGGTATAAAGCTTGGGGCACAATGGGTTCAAATAATATACACGAAATAATAAATAAGGATACAAGTAAAAGTTAAATTTTTATAATTATTAGGGTATATTAGTAATGATGAATTTTAAATAGTGAAATTAGGAAATTTTATCTTAATATACTATTTATAATATTTAATATTACCAAGAAGTGTGTTGATTTAAACTTAGCACTAGGTGGAAAAATTCAGCATTACCAAGTCGGAAATACAACACAAATTTTTCTCTAAAAAAATCCTAATAATAATAGAAAACACTAATAGCTTTATATATATGTATATATAGTAATAATATAATGTTCTGCTCTTTTTTATCGAAAGTATTATAAACAATATATCCCTACTAATATTATAAATGCGAAAGTAACTCTGTCTGTCTGTTACGCTTTCAAGCCTAAACCACTGAATTGATTTTAATGAAATTTCTTACAGACATAGAATTGACCTTGAGAAAGAACATAGGATAGTTTTTATCTCAGACTTTTGATAATTTCTCTTGGAAACGCAATATAACCGAACTCCACGCGGGCGAAGCTGCGGGCGGAAAGCTAGTATACATATTTTAGCTAGTATATTTATATTGTTTTTGCTCAGTATATCCAATCTCAACACGGTCGTCGGAGCTATCAATAAAGTAAGCAAACATACATTCAAGTCTTATATTACTAATGCATAACCCTTTGGTGTATCGACGAAACTAACACGTCCAAAAGGGAATTTAAAAAAAACGGTTCTTATGAGGACGATTTTTGGAATTGAAGACTAAATTCTATTGAATTTATTATGAATATTAAAAAATAATTAAATTAATTTTTTTAAATTTGTGTTTTAGTAATTTTTCTCAGCCATTTTTAACGGAGTAACGAAAAATTTAAACATAATAATTGGAACCTAAAATGACTATACAAATTTGATGAAGATCAGAAATAAAAAAATTATTAATTTAAAAAACAAATCAGTTAAAAAAAATTGGTTATTTATTAATTTTTATAATGCCATAAGATCAAAAGATGTTGACTTCAAAAGTATTGTCTTTGACCATTGCATGACTCACAATTGCAATATTTAAAATAAGTTATAATATATTAGGGTATATATTAAATTAGCCTGAATTATTATGACTTATACATAATATTTTACGCATATGTAGTAGGTACTAAAAAAACTATTTTTTTATTTACGATCTTCTACAGTGCAGTTGATTATTTAACCAAAAAAAAAATACTATTGTTTGTTCCTGATAATACATATATGTATATATAATATCTAGTATATAATAAAGTAAATAAGAAGAATACATATCTGGTACAGAACCCTGAAAGACCGGTTAGATGATAGATGAAAAGATATCTTTGTATCGTTTTATGAATAGACAAATATATCCCACATACTTCTATTTAAAATTATTTAAATAATAGCTCAAAATTCAATAGATCTTATCACATTAGAGTTATTAATCTACAAGAGCTCTCTATCATACAACAAATATTGACATAACGTATCATGCTACCAGATTCTGTCTATATATTTACAAGTATAAATATTTTTAACATAATAACAGACGTACTGATATGAATGACAAATAGTAAGAGGATATCTGTTTGTACTTTAGAGTATAGACGATTACAATATTGTAAATATAAATAAAGTTTAATATGATTCAGATTTAGATTTTTTAATATATATATACATATATATATATATATATATATATATATATATATATATATATTTCCGAGGAAGAATATATATTTGTGTAAAAAGACGGATATAGAAGATATTTAATACACTACTATGAAAACAACTATTGACTTTACCTTGCATTTGACTATTTTGTAGTGTCCTAGATTAGTGGTACACAAATAAGTGAATCGTCGGAAAAGTACGTAATAAAATATATAAGTGAAATCCTATAATAACATATATAATATAATTATTAAGAAATTTCAATAGTTTATGTAAAAAAAACTAGAGTTTCGTAATTTTTGTACAAAACAAATACATATATTTGTCCTTTTCAATTACAGAAAACATGTCCATTTACAAAGAAACCTGATATTAAACAACAAAGTCAATATAAGAGATCATTTTATACTGGACGTACTGGCCAAATTCGCCATAATAACATAATAGAATTAGCCACATATTTGTTACAATGACACATTTAGAAATAGAGCGTAAATTATGGTAAACATGATTTTATATAAAAACGGATAAATAATTATTAACGAAAATTTAATATTATTTATGTTTTATAATGTAATTAAAAGTAAATTAACACTAAATGTATGTCAGCCATAAACTCAGAAATAATTAAATGATTATAATAGTTGTGTATTTATTATTTGAAGGAATGCTATATATTTATGTTTTAAATCGCTTTCTTTCTATTAAAATACGATTAGTGTATTGGGCAATGGTTATTTTTTATCAATTTTAATAATAAATAAAAATATTGGAACAATCTCAATAAGTTATAATAATCAAATAAACATTTAATAGTGATACATAAGGGCATATAATAAATTAAATTATCCTAAACATATAATATATCATACACATACTATCGAACTATAAAATTTCGTAAGAGCCCCAGTATAGTATTGTTATTATAATACTATTATAAATAATTATCTTAATCTGATTTTCCAGATAACATATCCGTAGTTATTTGACAATCATTAAAAAAGTATCGTCAAAGGAGTTTATATATAAACTTTTTTTTTAAAATCTCAGACCAAAAAGTCTCAGATAAATACGGTCTTATACTGAATTAAAGTGGAAATAGTTTTAATGATACACGCATTTAGCCATGGAGTCACGTAGTCATGCGTTATAGAAAACGATCGCCATTACTGCTAACTAACACCATACATAAATAATTAGGTTCCTTTGAAAAAACCATAAGTAATGCAGCGTATTAAGTTATTTAGAACAAGTTTTAATATCTCCTAGCTTGTTAAGATGAGGTTGAGTTATATTATTTACAGTGAATAGAATTTTGTTTCATATTGTTCAATATCGCCCTATTAAAGCTCCGCACGGGCTTCTCGGGCTTGCAAAGCTTGTTCTGGCTTTTTTAACCTCGTACGGATGCGTTCAGAACACGTCTAGCGTATATTTTTAAAACATACACGGATTTTATAGTAATATTGCGAATTAAAACTTTATAACTAAACAATAATATCTATTCGTATATTTGTATTATAATTATTGATGATTTATATGCTAACACGCTCGAAGCTTTTTAAATCGGGTCTCAAATAATGACTCAAAGCTGAATGGGTCTCTCAAAATGGCGTCCCTCGCTCGTTCGAAACTTGAACGCGCCGGTGGTCGCGCGGGGGTAGGGGTGGGGGCCGCATGCGTAGCGGCGACCGGAGCAGCATTCCATTAGTTCAGCCAAACGCCGCGCGGCGCTACGCTATCCATCTTGTCCCGGACGCACGCTATACAAAGAACGCCTCAGTATTGTAAAAAGATCTGTGATGTATTGATTAATTCCAACGTTTTACAAACACGGGAACTGTATTATAACAGGAGTGCTAGCGTCCCTGTTCAGTTAAAGACGGTTTTAGTGTTATATTCAGTATCGTTGAGGCCACGTCCCTTGAATTCCACATTTATCGATGGATAGAATCTAGTGTAAAGGGAACATGGTGGATTCTTGGCGATGAAATTGTCGAGTGAAACGGAGTTTTATTAGTGGAACAATGAATAAAGTTAATATCTAAATATGGTAAAGTATGAGAATACGGTGTAATAGAAATAACCGCTTGTGTGCTCGGTCGGATAATGAGTTTGTGAAATATAAACATTAAGAATGGTTTCCCTAGCTTACTTCGGAATGCGGCAAGCTGCTTGGACTTTTCTGGTCCTTGTATTTCTGATCGAGAGTGTGATGGGCAACTACGCCAAGTCCTTCAACATCCATTGGAACACAACGAACAGCATTTTCAGAATAGACAATACCGACCACGTATTCGATCTCAATAAAGGTAACGCTCAGTTCGAATACGACCAAGTGAACGTTATGTGTCCAGTGTACGCTCCGGGCACCTTCGAGGAAGACACGGAGAAATATATTATATACAATGTAAGCAAAGAGGAATACGATACATGTAGGATAACGAATCCGAACCCACGGATCATAGCGATATGCGATAAGCCGCACAAACTGATGTACTTCACCATCACCTTCAGACCTTTCACACCACAGCCCGGCGGGTTGGAGTTTCTGCCGGGCAAAGATTATTATTTCATATCCACATCTAGTAAAGACGATTTGCATAGACGAATCGGCGGCAGATGTCTCAGTCATAATATGAAGCTGGTCTTTCGCGTGTGCTGCAAACCGGAGGACCAATCGCCAATACCACCACCTCAACCTACACAACCTACTCCACCGACGTCACCCACCATTCCTACAACCACCACCACCACGACAACCATCAAACCAGTCACCAAAAAGACGCACAAATACGACAAAACTCCCAACGAGGTTGTGAAGAGTGAGGAACTGTCTTACTCCCGTGGTGCGGCATTAGCTTCGTCGATTGCCCTGGCTTTGGCTGCCAGCGCAGTCCTAGCGCCGCTGGCTCGGTGAATGTGCGCTAAAGCGGTGAGACAGCCGCGGCCAGATCTTATAGCAAAACCATGTTCTGCACACACGACGCAAACACTTCAATCCCTACAATCATTAAACTACCCAGACTCGATAGTATTCACGTGAATGTGCTACATGTGTTGGACTATTTTTAGTGTTTTTTTCGGATAATGTGCCCCAAAAAATGGATTGTGGACGAAACTATGTAAGTAAGTGTCTGTGATGGCGTATGTTTGGATTTAGACGTGCAAAATTCCTAGTTAACTCCACAATACACCGCGGACTGTTAAACGCCGTTGGACATTTTGCGAGCCTAATTTTTACTATTGTAAACTAAAATATATCTGGCCTATTGAATAATCGAACTATTATTATTATACAAAAAAAAAATAACGGATAGATGAAGCAAAAGTAGATACGAACCCATTAAAATATATACATTATATATTATATAATTATTATAATAATAATAATTAAAAAAAATCGTTAAAGTGTATAACGATAAAGACGTTTTCTTAAACCATTAGGTATAAATTTTTTTATATTTTCACTAATGCAATGAAGGATAATGAATTAGGATTGAAAATAGGGACTTATATATATCGTTAGGTAGATTATAATTTGAAAAGACATTTTTTTTTTTATATATATATATTATATATAATTTCCTAAAGCTTAGATCTTATTTATAACGGAATCAGAGACGAGTTTAGAATCTTGTCCTAAAAAAACTGTGATTTTGGTTTTATTTTAGAATAATATTTCTATGCTTTCATTTTATGTGATATGAAATTTAATTGTATTTAAAAATGCATTTCACCTCATTATATTATTTAATTTTTTTTCGACTGAATCGCTTGTTTTTTTTTACGATTTTTTTTAAGCATATTTAACAGCTTGGTGACTTTTGTCGCTTTTACGGCTTACGTACAGTGAGCCGTATAGCTTTTTATTTGTATTAAGCTAACAAATAAATCAATAAATCATCAATATAATGATATTTACACAATATAGAAAAAATGTTTTTTTCTTTACATATAAAAGAAACTTAATTAAATTTGGATATAATTTAAGTTCTCACAATCTTAACTTCTGATGGATGATTTTTATGTTAAAAATTAATCTATCAGTTTCATAAATCGATAAATATCTAAATAATCGATTTTTTTATATATCCGAATTATCGATTAATATATATCGATTCTGTATTGTGTAAATATTAATATACAGTAGCACGTATGTGCCAAGTGAAATTATCACTTTAATAAAATAGTCAAATAGTTATATTGTAGTTGAAATAGACCGGTTTTCTGTTAGACATACGCATTTAGTGGCAGTTTATATATTTTAAAAATAGTGAATAAGTAACCGTTTGTATGTCATACTGCATTTAAATGGGCTTGGTTTTAAAATAGTAATTAACCAACTTATAGTGAAATACTGCATTGGAGCTATGGGAAGAAATTACTAACAAAAATTATTATACCATAGCTCAAACTAGCTGGTCAATAATATCAATAAGCCATAAACAGACCCAATATTTATGCAATACTATTATCTATTTCTAAGACATTGTTCTGGCCTTCAGACAAAAGACTAAGAAATCGTTACGTATATAAAAATAGCTGCTTAATGATCCGTAAAACTCACTCGATGTAGGAATGGATCCGAAACGTTTGAAATCCGACATCGTGTATCTTAAATCTTACAAATTAGACAAAGAAACGACGAAAAACATACAAATGCTATCAGCTAATGCATTGTTTTCTAAACAATTTTTTAAAATAACACACAACACTCAAACCATATGGTGTGCTTGGCTATTTTTAATTAAACTAAACAGTTTTGTCTTCAAGAGATTCTTGTTTAGTTCAACTGTCTTACAATTTGAGTTAACGACTCTAAAGGGTTTAAGGGACATTGCGGCTAACTTAGGCAGACCCTGGCTAAATCTGGAAAATTGCCAGGAAAAAGAAGAATCAGCGATAATGAACAACATTCATTTGATAAAATGAGAAATGTATAGATTGTTTTGTAAATTGTATGTATATGTGACTAAAATTGTATTGCATCATAAATAAACGGCTCGGCACAGAAATGATGTCACATGAAAGAATTCCAGCGAATTGATAAATGCTACAATTAATATATTTCAGCTAACCACTGAGAGGTATTAAAAATTTAGCTATTTGAACTATTAAATATTCCGAGAGTTAAAATAAATTAACAACATAATTTATTAGACACAAAACTACGCCATGACGTTGGGAACGTAAGTTTTGTTAAAAGATTCTGCGAATTTGTTCAATATATTTTTGGAAGCACAATAGTTGTAAACAATTTGAGATAAAAGATTTACAATATTCTTCGAAGGTACCCAAATCCGGTAGGACGTATAATCCGGTCATTAGCACTATTGGGCCTAGCATTAGAAAAAACTTAATACCTCATACAAAACTTCATTGATTCTGCTACTAATCTCCTTCTAGCTGGCAAATTCCCAGCTTTACCCAGGGTCTGCCTTACATGTTGTGAATAATTTTGGCTAATTGTTTTTTACGACCGGCCGCCTGACATCAACCCTCTTTGGGAATGCATTAATACTCTTAGAAAGTAAAGTACATATGACTCGAAAAAATTGGTACTTGCCAGGATCGAACCTGTGCGCTCGTGCATGAGAGGCGGGCCTTTTAACCATTAGGCAACCACTGACTTCAAAATCTAATTTCTTTTCTATATAAATGTATTTACCGATATACGTATATCATCTTAATTCGGATTCTACATGCAGTATGATATATCAATGATGATAAAACCAACATTTTTTCTCTTAGTGTTTCTCTCTCATTAAATTTTCATTAGTTGTGCTGTGTACTTAGTAATAATGATTATTGAAAATGAAAAATGAAGACCTCATTTTGTCGTGAATCTCAAAAGTCCGCTAGTTTTAAATGGAAATGATGATTTTTATCAAACAAGTTAATCTTCAATTCAAAATAATATATTAAAACTCATGTAAAATATTCTCGTGATAATGATTACTTGGAATGATATTAAAAATAGTATTATTAAATGATATTTATTACTATGTTTTGTATGGATAACACAATTAAACAAATGCCATTCATTGACAACAAGTAATTAATTGTAGTTATTACGAGAATTTTTATACTCATCATAGAATTTTTTCTATCAACTTAATTCAATTACTATATAATAAATGTAATTATTATTACGTGAATTGAAGATTGATTGTAATTGGTAATATGTATTGAGAATGGGAGTTTTGTGTATTATCTTATTGTTATAAAATAATCTTAACCTGTTTAGTGATGCAAGGTAAATGTCCTCGAAAATTGTGCCTAAATTTTTTCCTTTTATCGTCGGGTATTATAAAATTCTTGTAAATCGATGTGTCGATATTAGTAAGGCCTAATTTCTTTGCTCATGGGAGGTTGTATCGTAAAATAGCCTGTTTTCGTTTAATTTTTTTTAGCTATGTGTTAGTCCATAATATTTTGAGAGCAATCATCTTTTTCAATTTATATGCATTTGATATATATGGTCGTAAAAAACTATAGTCACATTGTTACTATTTCCTAATAAACTAAGGTTAAAAAAGCATATTTGAATTAAATAACATTAAGCCTTCTTTAAAAATTAATAATTACAAATATATTTTATCAACCTAATGGCAAGAGATTAATAAAAACTAAGTGTTAATAAGCAAAAAAGAATTTAATCTGTTTCAACACCTCAAGAACAAAATTAATGACAGTTTAAATTTGTATATGAGATAAATTTGCATTTGTTAAATTTTTTTTTTAACAACAAGCAAAGGTACTCGGTATTGCTTTGAGAATTTTTTTCTACCAAAGCGTAATTTTTTATATAAATTACGTTTTAAATAATGGAAAAGGGTTTAAAGTTTAAACATTTTTATTGACATGCCTTTTATGTTCAAATAGACTTAAATGTCATAGTGCTCATTACAGTTTTTTTTTTAATATTAATTTATAGATCATAAAAAACTTGATTTATGACAGCGGCATCTCAAGATATCCTAATGAGATTATTGCTCTCGAAACAAAAAAGAAACAGATTTTTATAATAAAAAAGTTTTTATATCACATTGGTGCTACAGAAAAAGACTTGAAATTCATTATTATTTAAGATAATCCTATCTGAAGTTAGCACTTAGATTATTCAAAGGACTGATAAAAACAAAACGATTTTTTGTTACGCTTCAACGTACTTAATTTTTCTATTTAATTAGCCTACACGTATCAGCTACCTCTTGTAATTTAGGTGTATTTTATATATTTACAAAGCAAACAAAAAAAAATAAAAACTAGTATAAAAACTCCTTGCGTCACTAAAAAGGTTAGGTTCTATTCCTAAAACTAAATCAGAATCCTCGATTTTCCTAAAAACATTGTTGGTTATTACGAATGAAGAAAAAAAAAACGATTTTAAAAATAAACTTAATAGCACATAGGTTACGCATTTAGTATATGAGTATATATATTTTTTGCAGCTGTATTTTTATTGCTGTTTTTGAGCGGCCATAACTTTCTGGTTTCTATGTCTGGGCGGGGACATAATGGAGTCCATAGAAATTTGAATTATGTTTTAATTATAAGTTTTATTGTATAGCCATAATGTTCTTATTATAATCTTTACATAACATCATTGACTGTATAAAGTATTACTTTTGGTTCATGATTTATGCATCCAACATGGCTTCCTTTTTTGTACTTATTGGAAGGACGGAAAAAAAACTATTGTAAATTTTGTTTTTGTATAAAATTTTGTATAATGTCTCTGCCTGTGAAAGAAAAATTGTTAAATTGTAAAAATAGTGGGGGGTTAGGGGGTAATTACCTACTAAGTAATGTAAGGTTGTAAATATGTTGTTATTAAGCGTAGACCCTGTAGGTATTTATTTTAAAAGATTTCGGGCCTTTGTTAAAATCCAAAGTTTTAATTTATTTTTCGAC